CTAATAATATCATTATTAAATATTTATTACAAGGTAAGTAATGTTGTTAGTTTTTACAGTTGTTGCTAATTATTTATAATAGTTAAGTCAATAATAATAGTTATCATTATTAAATAAATATTAGTAATAAATAAATTGTTTTAAAAAAATTACCGACTTACATAAAAACTCAGATTTTTTTTAATTTTTATGTTCAGTTTGTTATCAATTTACTCGTAAAAAACTAAAAAATTAAAGACAAAATGCTTAGCAGTGACAATGTAAGTCTGTAGTAAAGTAAACAGATTGAAGCACACATTTACTTTATTTTCATGTTAATTTCATTTACTTCAGCTCGAATTTTCACAATATTTTTATTTATAATATTTTAATTTTTGATATTTTTAAGTAATAATTAAATTTGTCAACGAATTTAAAAAGTTTGTTTGCGAAATTGAAAATTTTTCGGCGAATATAAAATGTCAATAACTTCGTAACCATGGAAACAACGGTTACAATTTGCAAATCGAAGATAATGAATGTTACTACTCAGTTACTTAAATCGGTGATTTTTTGCGGTTGAAATAAACAATTTACAATGTTCAAATAACTTGTGTCCCGCTTTTTTTTAACATTATATAACATAATTAATCTATATACCAAAGGATATCTTGGGGTCCGGAAGTGAAATATTTATATTATGTGAAGACATTAACCGACCGCACTACTAAAACATTGAGTAATTATTTGTTTTAAATATATTGTGGCATGATTTTTGTATTGAGAATAGTTGAGAATTAAGTCACAAAAGGTATTCTGATGTACTAAAAGGTTGCTCTATTTATCTCAGCTTTTTATTATTTTAAAAAAGTCTTGTATTATGCACAAAATATGACAGTTTTTTTATAATATATTAACCAAATGAAACAGTGAATCAGTAAATAAAGATTTTGTTACTACAACTCTTATTGCATTATTATCTTTACCCTACACTTCAAGGAAAGATGAAGAAGCTACCTGTATTATTTTTATGTCTTGCTTTTCTCTATATATATGTCAACTGTGAAGATTCTGGTGAGTTTGAGGATGAAGAAGAAGATGTATCAGAGGTTGAATCAAAACAACAAGAACCTGACTCTCCTCCCAGAGAAAAGGTTGAATTTTTATCAGTTTACTCATGTTTATTTTAATCATTTCGATTTTTTGTTCATGGATAAATTAACCTTATAGAATTTTTCCTATTTCAAATTACAACAGCCTCTGTAATAACTGCAAAATTATTTAACATAATTTTTTGATAATGATTAACTATAGAATAATATTGATGTTTTTATTTAGTGCTTTTAAATAGAGAAGTATTAAACAGTCTTTCTGTTTATTATTAGGATTACATAGTAAAGTAGTTCAGTAATAAAAAGGTTTATGAATGAAAAGAACTCTCGTTGATTTTTATTGGTTTCCATATCACCATGTTGACTAATTTTTTAACCTATAATTTTTTGTAATGTTTTTCTAATTCAACCACAGCCAGTGTATTCGCCTCCAGTTTTGTCAACTCCAGTGTATTTTGCTGATCATTTTGAGTCTCCAGAACTTTTTGAAAAAAAGTAATAAATATACTATTTTTTAATATTTGTTATGTTTCATATAAAGTGTTTGTCTTGGTTATGACATTAAACTGACCCTCACTGCCTTGTGAGTGATGTTGGATCCTCAAAGGCTAGGCCCACCCCTTATAACTGTGGTTGCATAAGGAAGGGCGTCCTGCGTAAAAATTAGCCAAATAAATTACTTATGATGACAGAAGTGACAATGGGCCCTCGTATCCGGCCAGATGGCGTTGAGGGGGTTTTTGGGTTCATCATAGGTTGCCAAAAGGCAACCCCCGATCTCGGGGAAAATTGTGTCTAAAAGTGTTGTTGTTTGTTGTTTCCTATAAAGTGTGAAAAGTTACAAAAAACGGGGAACTTGTTTTTTTCATATATTTGTCAAAAAAAATAAAAATTACTGAACGAATGTATTGACTTTAACTAAAAAAAAATTTCAATAGTATGGCATAATGAAATGAACTAAAAAATGTTTTATGGTAGATGCATTTTGAGCACTTGTCCCATGTTATAGTTCTAAATGAGAACCAATTTGCATAACTTAGACAGACTTTACATCTCATTTTCCTTTATAAAGAGCTACTTCTACATTAGTTTTAGGCTTAGTGCCCTCTTCTTTTCCTAGCATTTCCTCCATGGTTAAGGGCAACTTGAAAGCAGTGTGTTTAATATATTGTTTGTTGTGTATGTTTTTTTATGTGCATGTAAGAGTTTTTTTATCATTTCTCTTCTAGATGTTATTATTGTTATTTTGTCATAAATGGTTTATAAATCTCTAGATGGATTTTGTCTCGATCCAAAAAAGATGATGCAGAATCTACGATATCTAAATATGATGGTTAGTCTGTTTCATTTAATTTATTAAATAAATCTGTAAGGATCTTAATATTTAATTTGGCTTATCAAAGTTTTTTTTCCCCATAGCGATAATATTTGGGATTATAGTATGCAAGTGATATCTGTGCTGAAAATAATTTCAATTTAATTATTTTTTGGGGTTTATAAATACTTTAAGGCTTATGGGCAGTTGAAGAACCAAAGACATCAGCTCTAAAAGGGGATCTTGCCCTTATCTTGAAGGTCATTACTTTATTTATTCAGCTTACTGCTCTAAAACTACATTTCTTTGTTTATTTTGCTTATCATTCATTCAATGGAATGTTTTTGTTCATTCAACATGTTTTTTTTTGTTTATTCAGCATATTGTTTTTTGTTCATTTAAGTTGTTGTTTTTTTGTTTGTTCAGGTTACTGTTTGAAAACATTATTTCTTTGTTCATTAAGCTTATGAATATTTGTTTTGGTGTTTATATTTTTCAGTAATCAAAACTTGAATAATATTTTAAAATAGGTGTGATGTGTTTTTTTAGTAGATGATTTTATTGGAACATAATTCCTTAATTACTTTTGAACCCTATGTGGTGGATCAGTCAAAAGCAAAGCACCATGCCGTGTCAAGTGCACTAAAAAGACCATTTGAATTCAACGATGACCCATTGGTTGTTCAGTAAGTTAATGATGTTTTACAAATAAAATAAAATTGTTTCTCATGCTTTTAAAAATATTGACTTGCTATTGACTGAAACAAGAATTTTGAGTGAATCCAAACCTTGAGTTTAAATTTAAATGATTAAAACTAATAGTTAAAATTTTCTGAAACTTGGTTAGATTTAGCCATTTTTGGCTAAAGCCGGCTGAAGCCAGCTAAAATTTAGGTTGGTCTTTATCAATAATGGTGAAACTATAATGTTACAGTTAAAGGGTTATAATAGTAAATTTTTGTGTAAGTACATTTAGATTTTAGATGGTTGCATTGGAAAATGATTTGATAGTAGCTAGAGAGTGCTTGCTTTTCTAATAAACTATACACTAATGAAAAGAAAGGAACGATAATGGTCATAACTAATTACTTACAAATGGAAGCACATATTAGCATTCTCAGTTGTTTTATTGATAATGTTTAATAAATTTTTGATGAAATTTCAATAAGATATGAAGTCAAATTTGAAGAAGGGCAAGAATGTGGTGGAGCATATATCAAACTGCTTTCCAAATGCAATGACAATGTTGATTTGGTTAGTAATGGCTTTTCATTCATTTGTTTTATTGTCTATTTTATCTCTGGTTTTAGGATTGGGAATCTGAGTAACTAGATCATATTACTCTTTCCATAGTTAAAGTAAATGTTTTAAAATTCTCTTTCTGGTTTCTTTCATGAGACTGCTCAAATTTTTGTTGGCACATATCTAAAAAATGATCTCTGATTTTCTTCTTTGCATTTGTCTCAATTTTCACATCTTTTTTTGCAGTTTTCCATATTTTTTACGATTCTACAGTTACATTTTTTTTTGCTTTTGAAAAAAGTTATTTTTAAATTTAACAAATATAAAAAAATACATATTTTGTAAACATTTTTATAAAGGCATCAATTAAATCAAGGTTCTTTTGAAGTAATATTTTTATAATTCCAATTATTTTAGCTTAACTTATAAGGTAACATTTCAACAATACAGTCAAAATTCAATGACAAGTCTCCTTATACTATCATGTTTGGGCCTGACAAGTGTGGGAACGATCACAAGGTGGTTACTGATGTATTTGTAATGTTTCTATTTTATTTCAGAGTACAATATCCATTATAATATTTTATTGAATTGAAATTTTATTCTTTTACCTGACATTTTTTCAATATTGGCTCTATAGATGCATTGATTCCATTGTTTACTCTTTTTCTATTTCTTTTGGTTTTTTTTTTAATATTATGATCTTTTGAATTAAAAGTTTAAAGAATGGTGGATGTAATCAATTATGAGAATGTTTGATGACATTTTCATTAAATTAAAATGTTGAAATATTAAATAATTTATTGATTATGTAAAATATGCATAAATGTAATTTTATTTCTACCAGCTGCACTTCATCTTCCGACATAAGAATCCACTCACTGGTGTTTATGAGGTTGGTTGATTTTCTATATTCTTTCCTTTCTCTAACTCAATTTAAACATTATTCATTCAAATTTGATTTGATATTCTACAAGTTTTTAGACACAGTTAAATATTCTCTGGTTTTAAGATGAAAAGTTTAAAATAGATTTATTTGAATGGTTTTAATTGGCAAACAGTGATTAAATTATGGTAGCAAGTTTTTATAAATAATTTGTTAAAAAATGAAAAACTACTATTAACATTTGATCAGGAAAAGCATGCCAAGAAGCCATCAGCCAATATTGACACTTATTTCTCTGACAAGAAAACTCATCTCTATACACTTGGTTTGTTGTTTGTTTGACTTTAATTGTGTTTGTATTTAATGTCTCATTGTTTGAATTTAATTTTATGGCTACATGAGTAGAAGAGTCTAAGAATTCCTCCTTTCATCATATGATTAAATGATTGCTTTCAGAGGACCTTAGATTATTGGCATTGATTAAAATTTGGTTTTTGAATTTACCAAATAGCAGTGCAAAATGTAAAACATGAAAAAAAGTTAACCTTAACTCTAGCATGTTCACAATGCAACAGTGATTGTAAAAATTGAATTGAAAATTAAATTGTATTCTCATGCTGCTTTTTGCTTTTGAAACTTACAAACTTCTAAATCAATAAATTGACAGTTGTAAAGCCTGATAACTCATATGCAATCTACGTTGACCAGTATGAAGTTTCCAGAGGCAGTTTGTTGGAAGACTTCACGTAAGTTTCTGAGATTTTTGATATTGGAATGACTTGTTTTATTTTTAATTAATGCATCTTCATTAACTGAGCTACATTGAAATTTAATTCGTTATTTAAATTTTGTTTCTACGTTGAAAGACCTCCAGTTAATCCTAGTAAAGAGATAGTGGACCCTGATGATAAAAAACCTGATGACTGGGATGACAGAGAAAGGTTTCACCATTTTTTAAATGTGTTTTTTGTTTGTTCGTTCACAATTGTTACCATGGATGCATGTTTCTACGGTCATCGTCTTCCCTTTCACTACTCCTCTCCTACTTATGCTATTTTTTAATTATCAGTTCAATTATTTTTTTAAATGATTGCTCTTAGCTTTTTCGTCTAAGTGCTATTAGGTTTTTAATTTATTTTGAATTACATTATATCTTTATAGTATATATTGCTCTACATCTTTATCATCAGCTACACATCTCTCTACAAATAACAATCAACGGTCACAGATTTTTTTATTTCTAAATTTTTTTATCTCACCTTGCTTGCAGCTTTAAGGTTTCATTTCTTTCATGTAATCCTTTTTTCATTTGCATAAACTTGCACATCTATCTCAAATTTTATCTGGTTTGTGTATAATATTTCCAAAGGCAGAGAATGTTGAGGATTTTTATACAGGTCTTTTTTTATCATGATTGAAAGCAAAAATTTTAAACATTCAACCATGAACTACATAGTCCACTCTTAGTCCACACTCTTAGTCTTAGTCCACACAAAGGTTTTTTAATTCCTCATATGCAAACTCCACAGTATCTGTCAAACTTGTCTAGTATTTCCGTTGCTATTCCGGGCAATCTTTGTTGTATTCTATGTTGATAAAGACGTTGTAAGAGATTTTTTCATGTCTCTTGCGCCAAATGTTTCATTTACTTTTTATATCACTTTTTTAGTCAATATTTTGCAAATGAAGTGTTTAACTTTTCAGAATCAGAGACCCTGATGCTGTGAAGCCTGAAGATTGGTGAGTTAGTTCTTCCTTCACAGTTTACTGTTATTTCATCTTGCTTTCTCTTTTATTTAATCTTAAATTATTGTTTATGTATAACGTCAATAAAAATAATATGTGCTTTTTATTTCAGCACTTTATATTACATTAATGTTATGTATATTTTTTAAAATAATATAGCTTAAAATGCTTCATCATCCGAGTCACCCAGCATAAGTTTTTAAGTTGTTCGAGGAATTAAATCAAGAGTTTGAGTATAATTAGTTTAAATAATTCTTTTGTCATTATAATTTATACTAACGATCTTTTTTGAATTTGTGATCTAGTGAGTGAGATTGTCTTTTGAGGCTGCATTTTTAACCTCATTGAAATTGAATGAGATGGTTGATTTTTGATTTTGGTTGTGTTTTTTTCAAATAAATAACTGTTTATGTACTTTGAAACTTATAGGGACGAAACAGAGCCTGAGATGATAGATGATGTGGATGCCACAAAGCCTGCTGGTTGGTTAGATGATGAACCGGAACTCATTCCAGATCCTGCTGCTGAAAAACCATCAGACTGGTTAGTAGAACTTAATCCTGTATTATCTCAATAATTTAATTGCAACGCCTTAACGACATAGAGGAGAATTTCTATCATGAAATTATCGATGCTATCAAATAATTATTTCTACCAAGCTATGTTTAATGTGTGTTTATAAGTTTTTAATTTTCTTTTCATGCTTAAATCTTATTTTTTACCAACTTCTTATTTTTTATATCCCAATTTTTTTATGTTAACAAGTGAATTTTTGTCTCTCTATGCAATTTTCATGAGACATTTGAAATAAGGGCTCCATCGAGCAATGGTGTAACTAAAAAACTAAAAAAAGTTTAGTTGTTTGAAAGGTTCAGAATCCCGCATTTGTAAATAGTGGTTTTATATGTGCAATTTGATTAGAAAAGCTTCTTATAATTGAGAAACTGGTCTTGATCTTTCAGAATTTAAAAAAAAAAGTCTGACTTGTAGATTTTTACTGAAATAATACATATATTTGGATATCCTTAAAAATTGTTGACAATTGTTCCATTAAAATATCTAAAATAAATAAAAAAAAAAACAAAAAACTTTTCTACTGTTTTCACAAAAAAAGTTAATTAGTTACAGAGTTACAAAGAATAATTATATTTAAAGGTTAAATTGTGTTTTCATTCGTCATCATTCAACAGGGATGAAGACATGGATGGAGAATGGGAAGCGCCATTGATCAGTATGTTTTATTTTTCATTCATTCATCATTAAACGTTTATACCCTATGTTTAAACTTGCCAATTGTATTATTATTTTTCTCATCATTTTCATATTGTATTCCACTCTGAGTTTAATTAATTTAAATAATTTTTTAGTTGTTTTGGCAAACCTTTTTTTTATGTTAAAACAAGCTCTGAATAGTTTAAAAAAATTGCCCTGTCTTTATTTGTGGCAGCTGATTTTTTTTTCAAACTTAACTCCTCTGCACAGAACCTATAGAAAAAATTTTCCAATATACTACATCCCATAAAAGTAATAGTATGAATTATCAGTTTCAATGGTGATGTTAGGTCTAGCTGCCCTTCACATTCTTGACTGGGTTTGGAAAGAAATTCATACTGTTTTAATAGCTAAATTGCAATATTATGCTAGTTTTTATAGAGAATGTTCTGTCATAATGGAAGGATTATAAATAGTTTTGCTATAGACAAGAAATACAGCAGTCTTACAAATTTTCTGCTTCTTCAGCCTGTCAAACCAAAAATATAGAAGCCATTCATGTACCTACAGGATGTTAAAGCTTGTAAATAACAATTTATAAAAACTATGAATCTTAAAGGCTTAGATTTAAAAATGTTTCTGTATATTTTTATTTTCAATGCTTTCTTGCAATTGTGTCTAACCAAATCCTACCGTTGATTTTTAAATGCTGGAAAGGTTTCGATGTAAACGTTTTGCAGACAATCCCAGATGTGCTTCAGCCCCTGGGTGTGGTGCGTGGAAGGTGCCTCAGATTAAGAACCCCAAGTATAAAGGAAAGTGGGAAGTCCCCATGATCGATAATCCTAATTACAAGGTTAACAGAGAAGCAAATTAAAAAAAAAATAACTTTAAATGACTATGGTGAATTACTGATGTAGATGATGCACTAAATTAAATGTCCTTTATGGATAATGATATAAATTTATAACAATTTTATTATTATAAGTTACTACTAATCGTTATTGCTTGAATGGTTCTTCCTTATCAGCGTGCGTGTACTGCATTTACGAACTTATTGATATCTATCTCTCGATTAGAATGATTTGCTATAAATATGCAGGGTAAGTGGTCACCACGAACAATTCCCAATCCTGATTATTTTGAAGACAACCAGCCATTCAGAATGTCACCCATTGTTAGTTTTTTTTGTATCCTGTCTGAATCGTTTCTTCATCATTAGCATTTTTATTATTTTAATTTCAATGGAGGTTGCAAATTAGTTGAATGTTTGCAGCGTTTTAGTTTTTGTGATTTGTTCCATCGAACATGTTTGTTTCTCTTAGGGAGCTATTGGTTTGGAACTCTGGTCAATGTCCAATGATATTGTCTTTGATAACTTCATAATAACAACTAGCAAGCAAACCGCTGATGAATATGCCAAGCAGACATGGTCAATCAAACATTCTGAAGAAGCAAGTGACTCTGCTGTTAGTTTTATACATTATTTTGTCTCTTCACAACAGTTTTAGTGCTCATTCATTATTAAATATGTGTTGGCTTTTCAGCTTTTTTTTGGCTTGCAACTAACCAATTGAAAACTTTTTGTTACTTCTAATAGGATAATAATTTAACAAAAATTATGACATAATTTGATTTTTGTCCATTTTACTCAGTTGTCTCTCTCATTGTATAATTAACTTCATAATTTTATCATAAAATTTATAATATGCATCTACCGATTTAATGATTTCAAAAGTTTTATATGTTTTTGATTGAGTTTTTTTCCTAGCAAAAAATAACATCTCTGCATTTGAAGGATGAAAATGACTGACTTGAAATATTATGCAGGGAGGTTTTATGCAATCAGTCGTTGATGCCACCCACGAGAGACCCTGGCTGTGGGCAGTTATCGTCGTCGTTGTCGTGCTGCCCATCGTGCTCATTGTGGCTTACTGTTGTCTATCCTCGAAGGTTTGTTTGCTTTTATCTTGCAAACATTCACTTGAAAATTAAAATTATTTTAATATAAGTGAATAATTATTTTAATATGATTGAATAATTATTTTAGTGTGAATGAATATTATTTTAACTCGAACAGGGAGAGGACAGAAAGGCTGGTGAGCGCAAGAAGATGGATGCTCGAACAGCTGATGATGAGGTTGATGATGACGAGAATGAAGAATACGGTGAGGAAGCAGAGGGACCGAAGGAGGGAGGTGATAGTGAATACGTCGGAAACTATGATTCTGCCGAAAAGAAAGTCACTAAAAGAACTAAATCTGACTTGGAGGTTATTCTTGCATTTTCATTGTTCCTGCCTTTTAGAAATAAACTATTTTTCATTTTATTTAGTTCATGTGTTATTATCATTGTGTTTCTTTCTCAATATTTGTTGTCAATTATTGTTGTAAAAATGAAGCACTTTAGGTGTTATTGTGTTAGTTTACAAAATTTGTTCAATTGGACGTTTAAATGATAATGTTAATGAGTATATAATAGAATAAGATTTTTCTGTTGACTGCCTTGTCATTCCCTAATTAAACATTGAAGGTATTTTTGTTAAAGTTTTGCTGATTTGTATTTTAATTTAACTGGAAAGAATGTTTTGTTGTTGCTTTTACAGTAACTTATTATTTATGCTGAGTTGAGTGAATGAAATTGCATCAAATGCCATTAAATAAAAATTCTTACTCGATGAATTTGCAGTCAAAGCCAGATCAAGACTGAACATGTGATCAGTGGCAGCAGTTGTTATTACCATCAACTCTGATTTTTATTGTTTATATATTTAATAATTTTTATGTTAAATTTGTAAACCATTGAGGAAACTTTTTTTATAATTGTTTTGTGTGACAATTACTATCAGATGAAATAAAGGCTGTTCTGGAACTTTAGAAAGTTGTACATGATTACTTTTATTTGATCAAGTTTTGTTTAACCCATAGAGTAAGCCAATAAAATTTATTTTCATTGATTGCTAAATAAAATGATTGTTAATCTGTTAAATGGTACCGTTTATTTACTAATCAATCTGTTTGCGGCTCTCTGCAACAACATTTGTGTTCTTTCTGCTCGTCCTAATTGTCCGATCATATAGTTTTTGTTTGTTTTTCTGTTGTTTATCGGTTCAAAATAATATTTAAAATTTTTTCAATCCTGTAATTTTTACGGTACATTGATATAGTTTTGAGTTCCATAGGCAATTATTTTGTCATTTTAATTTTATTTAAAATATTTGTTGTGCTGATGTTAAAATAAAAATTTCTGGTTAAGACTTTGTAATCAATGATTCTGTCTCATACACATTCTCTCACTCTCTCTCTCACACACAACACACACACACACATATATATATATTTATAAATAATAAATATGTATAAATATATACATTTTAATTTTTTTAGTTGTGCTATACACTACATAAGTAATCTACATTTTAGGAGATTTTATTGAATGCAACAGTTATTTTTCCCATCGGCATTACTCAGAGTCTAAAGTTGAGTATCATTTACTTTACATATGCTTGAATCAATGGAGATTTAGAATTTTTGGCTGATGCTGTCCTTAATTTTAGCTATTACTATTTTTTGTTCCTATTATTAGTAAATATATCCAACTCGCGCATATACATCTTTTCAAACCCGGTGTTTCTATGATGGAATGGAAATCTTGTTGAGAAAAGAAATTAATGATTCTGAGCTTAGTAATAAATGCATGTTAATGAATCATTAGGATGGGTAGAATAAAAGTAATTATTTACTTCGAACCATTTTTTAAAAGAAAATCTAGTCTGTACTGTGTCGACAACTATATAACTGATCTCGTTTCTCCTACACTGTTTTCTAAATAACCATCTTCCAGTAATTGACATGCTTCTACACCTACAAGTACCTTCCTGATACATTTTCACAAACTTTACCGTTATAGACTTGAAGCACACAGTTTAGATCAGCTGCGCGTAGCATGTCGAGGCAATTCATGCTTCAGTCACGTGCACATTTATTTGTTTCCAAAAAAGCCCGCATTCCAATCGTCTAGGCTAAATCGGCAATAGATATCTCTATACCATTTAACTTGTAGAAAATCTCGCTAGTGCAGCCGTGTTTGCATCTGCAAACTGAACAACGAAAGGAATAATCACTACAGCCTGTGTTCAACACTGTCACGACAGGTTTCGTATGATTGAAGTGCATCAATTCATTATACACATTTATAATTTCGATTAATTTTTTTAAAGAAGTTATTCTATCTAATCTAAAAAATCAAGATGTAAATTATAAATAACTTCTACGTTTTGCAATGCTTCCTCTATCAAAAAAGCTGTCTGATACACCAGGGCACTTTGACTGTTTATTTACCAACTCTGTTTGCATAACAGTTTTAGCCATAAAATAATTGTGGCGACGGTAATAAAAAGTCATCTATAAAATAAAAGTGCCTGCCTTGTACCAGACCATATAGGCGTAGAATATTATAAGAGCAAGCAGGTGCGTGCGAGTGTCTACAAATGCCACAATACACTAACACCAATTGCTAAATCTGCATTTGCTTTTTTTGGCCCTTTTCTCTGGAACTCTCTTCCTCCTTTTCTGACTCCTTCATCACTTAGGAAGTTCAGAGCGGATCCCAAGATCCATCTGTTTCCAAAATTCATTGAGGAGCGATGTTGAACATCGCGGAAATAGTGCTTTATAAACTGATTGATTGATTGATGGATTGATTGAATGACGCAAACGCTTCCAAGTTAACGTTCAGTTCAAGTAGTTTGACTCAATTCTTATGTATAATTCAAATTCATTTTTACGCCAAGGTCATTTTTTCAATTGTTTCTTTTATTAGTTTCAAAGAGTTTTGATCATCCAGTTAACAACACATTTAAAATTTAAAAAAAATATGAGTATATGGCAAAACCATGTATATATAGTAAATATTATATGCATATATTTAGAATATATAGAATATATATATATATATATATATATATATAGAATATATATATATTCTATATATATGATTATAATGTTATATTTTATATATGTAGACAAAATCATACACTTAGAATAACAAAGACAGATTACCGATGTGATGTGACATGGAATTTCTAACTGTTCTTTGTTCCTAGTGCGAGTCATTAGTTACAAAATGGCTTCTAAATCGAGAACTACGATTTTTGACGAAATGTTAACTTATATAAGTGAACCAGTTTTTCAAGTTCCTGTGAATTCTTTCATGGATGAACATTGTTTAAGTTAGTCAATAAGTACTTTTACTTTTGATTCTGAACAAAATTTGCTGCTAATTTGTTAATTAATTATGATAGAAGATATTCTGATATGACTATCTCAGTATCTCTTCTCTATCTATCTAATCAAGAAAAACTCTATCTATCTGATAGAGTCTTTCTTGTTTTTCTTATTATTATAAATTATATTATAATAATTAAATATTTTTGATATGGTTTATGATATTTTAATATTTGTAAATATAATAAATAATAATAAAATGGCTTTTTGATTTGTACTCATTCATGTCATTTGTAAAATTTATATAAAAAAGTAATTATTAAAGACTTTAATAATCACTTTCACTCTTTAATAAAGAGTAAACCTAAGAAATATTAAAATATTATTATAAAATGTTTAAAAATTCACTACTTTGTTTTTACAATACATATTTTTTCATTTTTATATTGAATATTTATTTTAGTATTGTTTCAAAATATAAATTTAAATATTTTTACTGCAATTTAAAAATATCCAAAGTTAAAATTACTTAGTAACAAAAATATTTTATGCTTAATTATTCATAGTTTTTGACATTGACTTGGAGCCAGTGATGGAACATTACAAAATTTATGAGTCTTACAGAAAAATGGTACTTTTTGACAATTATAAACACTTTTTTGTTGCTGTTTAGGTCTGAATTTGTAAGCAGTATTTGTTAATATATTATGATTTCATGCAAAATTTGCTGCTCTTTTAAATTAAATTTATATTCTGTATATTAAATATAATTTATACTAATTTTTAGGTTGACAAATTATTAGAAGCATTTTGCGAAGATGCAAACATTTCTCAAGATGAAGTCATCTTAGGTATTTCTAAACTGAATAAAATACCAGACCTACATGATTTATTTTATGTATGTTTAAACATTTCTATTCTGATATTTATAATATTACATTAAATTAAATTTAAATTTTTATTCTCGGTCTGCAGGTATTTTATTTTGTTTTTTTTTCAGCCATGCTCTAGAATACTTATTTTTGTAGTCTTAGGTGTACTTATAGCCTTATACAGCCTTCTCAAAACCTTTTTATGTAGAGTTAAACTTAACTCAGTTTTTAATCTTTACTTACACTATCAACTTTACTTGGTTTTTGCATTTTTAGTTTCATGTTTTTTTTTACTACTTCTTATCATGGTTAAATTAACTTGAATAAATTTTTATTGAATAAAATATGTTACATAATTTTGAAGTATTTACTACTTGGTGAACTCATTTTTTCAATATCTTCAATTTTTTATAAAAATTATGTGGCTAGCAGTTGGCCAATGTCAAAGCCTATATTTTGAAAACAACAATTTATCCCTTTATATTTCTTTTTTTCCAAGTTGAATTTAAGCAAAAATGGTGTTAAACAGATAAGTATTATTTGTAACCAACAAATTTGAGCATTTGATTGCTCAATTGATTTAGAACTCATCCACATAACACCTGAAAAATTTGTTTTAAAATAAACTTAAATGAGCTACCATCCTTTTGTGGCTTTAAAATGTGACAAGTGAAATACTCATGCTCTAAGGAATGTATAGTAAAGTTGCCCAGTTATTTTGTTAAACTCAGTTGATACTATGAGATATTTCAATGATCATCCCTCCAGCACTTTTTTTTCAGTATTTTTTCATGTCTGTGTTAATTGTTGAACATTGATTGTAATTAATTTTTAAATATTCACAGGCAACTAAATGGTTTAATTTTCTCAAATTTATCTTTCATTTTCTAAAAAATTCATTGAAGGTTTATTTTGAACAAGTGCTGTCAGCAAACGATTTCAAACTGTTCTATCCACTAATGGCCAAACGCAATATTCTCATCCAAGAACAAGTGCTGGCTATGATTCTGGCTGCCACAGGAATTTTACCGGATTCATTGACAAAAGGACCATGCCATTTTCATATTGAACCTAAAAGAAAAAGTGGAGCCAAAGCTGATGAGAGATTGACCCACAGTGGTGTAAACACAAAAGCAGTTAATAATGAAGATGGTGATAAAATGGAGAGGGAAATTATGCATGATGTGTTGAGGTTTCGATTTACTTTGGTGATTCAACTGTGACCTTAATATTTGGATTTTTTTAATGTTAGTTTTTTCAACTAATATCACGTTTCTAAATTTTTTCATTTAATATTTAGAAAGTCTCAAACTCAAAAAATTGTTGAAGAGGAAAGTTGTGAAGAATATTTTGATTCAAAATCCATTGAAGCTGTTGAAAGAGAAGTGAAATCACTTGCAAAGGAAAGGAAACAATTGGAGGAGGTTAAATATTGCTGGAATTCATTTTTTGTTACTGAGAACTGAGAGAGATTTGATAATAAGAGAAGTAAAAACAATAGTAATAATAATAACAATAATAAGCATCAAACAAAGTAAAGATTAAAATAAACAAGTGTGGATGATAAGTAATGCCGCCAGAACAACAGTACAGCAGTATCTCTTAGTGTTGTTGAATGATCTAGGAAACCATGGATAACAGATGACAGGAAAAAACGAGAACTACGAAAAACACCTTTGGAATTAGACGAAAAATGTTTTGAATCGGATGCTAGGCGTAAGACTTTAGTTTCAACATTTAAATGAACAACACATATATTGATAGATGTTGTTGCATGCAACATTTTACTCAAGTGTTTGGAGTTTTATGTTATATGGAAAAAATAGATTTTGTAAGAAATAAACAGTATATGGGACTGTAAAGACGAAAAACTAGAAAGTCAGAATAGTATTGAGACAGATAGCCGTGGTTTTTGTCTAGTTTGAAAAAGTAAAATAGGCGTTACTTGAAAAATTGGTCTAAAATTGAGTTTAGGCGAAGGTTGAAAATGTAGAAAAAGAAATTATCGTTTGAAGTTGCTCGTTATTGTTAGCATAGTGATGAACGTTCTAGTGAGGAAGTTATTTTAAAACTGAGTGTATAATGATAATGTTGGTGAATAATTAAGACGGGCAATACACAGATTTGGTTAAACGTTTTGTGAATGAAATTTTTCTTCATAAGAGTGCCTGTTTAATTTATAAACTGTCGTTTGAATGTTTTTTGAAGTTTGGATTTGAATTTTGGCTCGTTTAACCGTTTACTTAATAATCAATTTTTTAATTTACAGCGAATGAAATTGATGTTCTTAAATTCAAAGGTAAATATTTTTATTAAAAGATTTTCAATAATTTTTAAGTATGAGATGGGCCGTAATTTTGAGAGACATTAGAAGGAGGTTCCAGAATTATAACTATTGTCAGGGATTGTCAGGGTTTCCATCTGTAGCAATTTTACAAATATTATGTGGTATAATGACAAAAACTGATTTGTAGTTTAGATTGTGACGTAATAGGAAGGATATTGGTTATGATAAACAGTTGAGCAAAAATTGACGCTAAATGAGTTTTCGATAATAATTTTCACGTTTCTTTGACAATGCTTATAATAATGCTTTATCGTAGAATAGGTTAATCTGTGGATTCCTTTATTGATTCCTATTTGCATACATTGTGGAGTTTTTAGACACATGGCTTCATTACATCCTATCTCTTGCGTTTCCTTTAAGTCTGTCGTACATGATTCTGTCATTCTCTGAATTCTATTCTTTCAGTGTCTTTTTTTTCTCTCGAAGGACCATTTTCACTCTGTGAGTATGCTCCTTTTCTGCTTTGACAATATATATATTTTTCATTCATAAATTTTTTACTGAATTTTTCATTTAATCTCCATTGGACTTTGCACAAACAGTTCATGTGTCATATTTAATTCCTTCTTCAATTTTTCTTATAGTCCTGCTGCCAGTCTAACTCTTTTCCGACTTTTCGGAAGCTGTTCAAATGTTTTTTGTTGAGAGGATAAAAAATTTGAGATTAAGAAGTTGATTGAAATGAGTGTCAGTCGTCAAAATAGATAAGAGATATTTTGAAAAAAATGTTAAGATTTGCAATAAATTTGAAGTTAAGTTTTTTCTTATTAGCGTTTTTGTTTTTCGTTTTGAAAATAATTTATTTAAAATGATTTCAATGTTAAACTTCTCGATGCAAGCCTGATGACACTGAAGATGCAATCGGACGAAAGCCTAAGCTCTCTAATGAATTGTTGACAGCCAGTGAACAGGAACCGTCCATTGATATTTCCAAATTAAACATTCTGGTAAACTTTTTCATTTTATTTTTTTTCCATCTTGATTCTTGCTTTTGTAGCTTTTAAAAATTATTCATTATTTATGGTTTTCATTCCTCTACCACGTGCGATCCTCATTTTAACATTAACATATAACTTTGAATTCGACCAAATTTTACTTAAATAATTTAAGGTGAATAATCGAGACAAATGCATAACGATTAAATAAAACGAATTTTTTTTAGACAAGTTCATCTAAATTGAGTCCCGAAGAGATAGCCAATCGCCAGAATTTTTTGCGCCAACAGAGAGACAAGCTGCTGTCTATGAAAAAGGAAGCCAGGGAGAAGCAATTGAGAAGAGCGGATGAAGATGAGAAATCTAAGAACCGACCTGTGTCATCAAGGACGGCTCGTCTGCTCATGAAGCACAATGGACAAGGTGACTCGGGTGATGATCGTTCTGCCAAAAAAGAGGTTTACATTGCCGTTATTATTAACTATCAATAATGGCTATTTTGCTTTCCAGACCCACTACACGCATAAAGACGGAGCGTGCGTGGTTATGATTCACGGATCGTGAACTTCTTATTCTTACGTATATATCAGATATCTTTTTGCGTCTCAACCTGATCAGCTTAACTTAAAAGTTATTACACCATTACGCTATCCCAACCCCTCTGATATTGTTTCATAATATAAAATTCATTTTTTTTTATAAAATTTAATGATTCGATGAAAATTTTTTTCATATCATTTAAACGTTAGAAGAAGACGAATAAATAGAGCTTTTGTTATATAGAGATTGTGAAAACTAATAAAAAAGTATTCCTGATTTTTCTCAAAATTTTTTGTGTTAATAGTTAGGTACAGAACTTGCATTAAAATGTATAAATTAATTAAAATGTGTGGGTCTTGGATGTATTTACGTATAATGAATATTTTCTCTGATAAACCAGGAGGAGAAGAAGTTGGCATTGAGGAGAGCCATCGCAGAGAAGTTGCGCCAGGAGGTTATAGGGAAAATGTGATGACGACCGTTAATTGTTTAATGCAACACTCGTTGACATTTTTAAAGCAATTTTTAAAACTATCAGTCTGTTATAGAACAAAAATCTTTTAGTTATAGATAAACAATTCTTGATTTATGAAAAATAACTCATAACTTACTTCATGTTTCGTGTATGCACTTTTCTATTTTATTACATGTTTTAGTGTACAAAACGTGTGCGTGTGTACAACTTGTACAACGATGCGAACGTATCTCTACAGACATGTAAATACAAATTTTTGCATTTGTGATGGTTTTTTTTTTCAATATTTCATGATCACGTCAAAGTTTAATGAATTTGTTTTACTTTATCTGGTTTATCACAAAATGACATTTATCTTGATGCTTATCTTGATTTTGCTGAATTGCATTATTGTTTTAGATGCAACATAATTCTGTGATCTGTTCCTAATAGATTCGTAATTTGTATGTTTGAACTTTGAACTGAAATAAATTGTTTTACAAGACGAACATGTTGGAATGTTTTGTTGGCCAGCATTCTCATGAAGATTTATTTCGTGAACATACCCCGACAAAAAAAGCCACTGAATATAAATTGTCAATAAAAAATCAATTTGATTGTAGGAGAAGAAAGGATTGAACATAATAGAGTTGAACATATGTGCAAACAATTTTATTTTTATATTTGTTATATAACTTGTGAGTGAACAAAGTGTTTTTGATATTCTTATTGTTAGATTAGTGGTACATATATTTCAATAAAAATGATACGGTGAAATAGACTTGATTAAATTAAAAAAAGTTAAAAAAAATAAGGTAACAAACAAGTTCAATTATTAAATAAAATAATCCATACAATGAACGATATCTGAGATATTGAAAAATAAATTAATGAAATAATACAATTACGTTTGAATTTAACAAGTATACGCACACAAACACACGCATACACACACAGATTAATTATGGTGCTAATCCTTCATTATATATTATAAATGTATATATAAATACATATACGTAAATAAATGTTCGTTCATTGTTTTTTATTTTAATTTTATAAAGATTCTATTAATAAACAATTAGACTACGCTCATCATGTTTATAGAACACATCATACTTAGACTGACGGCATATTCAAAGAAGATCCTATATATTTGGCTGACGGCTTTAAATAGAAAAACTAGTTCAGACGAGTTATTTGGTCTAACCCAGATTTCATGCTATTTGTTCTTTGTGATGCTTGATATGACTTCTTATGTATATATATATATATTTATATACATTTCATTACATATATATATATATATATATTATGTATATAATATTATACTATATATATATATATATATGTGTGTATATAGGTGAAAATAGTTGATTTGTCATCAGACACCTATAGATATCAGATATATATAGTTGATAACTCATGTTGGATCTAAAAATTCATACTTTTTAATAATAGCTCATTGATGGCTACTTTTATGCTATTTTAATATAATTTCAATATTATCGATAAAGCTCATTTTTAAAAGATCTTATCATTTTAAAACTTGGAATGTGCGAAAATTTTGAAATGAAATCGATAGACAGCGCAAGAAGACGTAAGTTGAATGTTCTAGCAGGATTGCACGAGGCTGACTGCCTTCTCAACTCTCATTCATACTCGCAAACTGAACGCGATAACAATGTGGAACGAATTCTGACACCTGACGCCACTACACCGAAAGCGCACGAGATACAAGAAACGTCATCGACAACGTCATCAACAACAACATCAACAAAAACTTCAATCGGATCATCTAATAATGTTCATGTAGATCCTACTTCGAGCAATCAGAGCCATGATATTTTGATTAATATCGATGATGATGGTTAGACAGACATTCATAGTGATTCATGAAAAATTATGATAATTTTTCATGCGCGTAGAACAGAACTTAAGTTAAGTGTGTCGCTTATACAACTACAGTTTAAAAATTTGTGGCGACTTATTTTAAAAGTTTTAAAATAAAATACACAATACAAAAATGTCAAAACAAAATATTTTGTCATTATTAAAATTAGGATTTATTTTCAGATTCATTTTCAAAGAAACCAAAAGAATACTGCAAATACGTTGTGAGTTGATTTCAGTCTTAATCTTCCATCAATCAACCTATCAGTCAATTGATGTTCAGTGTAAAATCATATAAACTGTCATAAACATTTAAATTGAATGAGTTACAAAACTTTTGATGCAATAGCTACATTTATCATTTGGTAGTTGAATAATAATATTATAGATTTTATTAACGTTAAAACCATTAGAAAAAAGATCTTCACCACACTCTAGATACCACATTCCACCACAATCTAGATACCACATTCCACCACACTCCAGATACCATACTCCACCATCATAATTAATGACCCAATTCCACTACAAACGAATACACGTTTCTTGACAGGTTGGCGCGGAAGACAGTCTGGCGAAGATAGCCGCTTCATTTTCCTGCTCAACTCTGCAACTGATGAGCATCAACAAGCTCATGAACTTCATGATCTTCCCCGGGCAGGTTCTCCTATGATAATTATTATTTTTATGAAATAACAACACTGCATAATAATAATAATTAAAAGTCTTTTATTACAGAAAATATAAATATAAACATAGACATAAAATATACATAAATATATACATAAAATATAAAATAGAATAAAATATGGTCATTGTCAAATAATTAAATGCAAAATAAAACGCAAAATAAATTCATCTACGGTAAGTGTAGTTAAGTGACGTATTTGAAAGGTTATACAATGTTTCTGCCGCAATAGATGGCGTGAGTCGATTTAATTGCAGAATCAATTAAGTTGTCAATAAAAGAAACAGACCTTAAAATACTACTACTACTACTACTACTACTACTACTACTACTACTACTACTACTACTACTACTACTACTACTACTACTATTACCACTACTACTACTACTACTACTACTACTACTAATAATAATAATAACGTCATCAGAAACGGCGAAGTGGGGCGAATGCTTGAAGTTTAATTAATGATAACGTTAACAAAATTTGGTCATAGGTGTTAATCGTGCCGAAGTTCAGCGGAGCCGGTGATGTAGAGGAAGGTTGGCTGGGTCAGTTCTGGTGGTTTCAATGTTGTTTTCAGTATGATTATTTTTTATTTGTCGCTTTGCAAGAAAGTTACGAACTGAAGTTTGAAAATTTGTCAATTATCATCAATAAAATAAAATAAAAATTGACTCGTAAACTAAAAAATTGACACGCCCTGAAAAAAATTTGACGAGATTATGAAATTAAGATTTGTGTTCGATTTTTTACAGGTGAAACATCAAAATCTCAACATTTCCAGGTGATCGTGTTTATTTAATTTGTTTTTACACACACACAACACACATATGCACACACACACATATGCATGCACCACACACAAACACACACACAAATACACACGCGAATCTTTGTCGTCGTCTTAGAAATCTTTTTAAAGGGCTCTTACAAATACATTCATAATACAGTCGAACCTCGATATAACGAATTTGATGGTTCCAGGAAAAAAAATTCGTTATATAGAAATTTCGTCATATAGAATTTTCGTTATATAGAATTTGTTTGGGGAAAAATCTATATTGCCTAAAAGGCCTTTATATGCCATATATTGTATATATTTATAAAAATCAACCTTCTAATCATTTATTTTGATAACAGAATGTAATAATACACAGTATAATTGTAAAAATTAAAATTTTAACAGTGAAATTAATTTTAAATTAATTTTTTGCTCCATGCTACGATGATTCCAATTCAATTGAAATTAATCGAAGTAAAATTTGCAAAAATTACTTGAATACTAGGGCAAGAAATAATAAATATGGCTCTAGGAAAACTAAACCGCTCATATCAATTTATAGAATGTTTGCTGGTCGGATATTTCTTTTAATTTTTATAAATTTTCTTCGTTATAGAGAAATTATATTCGTTCTATAAAAGCAGTTTTCTATGTAATGTTCCAAGGGACATAAAAATTTGTTATATAGAGATATTCGTAGTATAGAAGTTCGTTATATGGAGGTCCGGCTGTATATACATCTTGATTTGAACGTAGTTGTTTTGTTTGGAAAATAAACCAGCAGTATTTCTGACGTTGCTTGTTTTGTTGATGTTAATATTAGCATCGCATCACACAAATTGCATGCGATATAGACTGGGATCTCTTCCTACACGAACCGGGTCACCGCAACAGAGGTGCCATGCACCTTAACCATTATACCAGTGCGCCACCGACGCATATATTTTCCATTATACAAAACGCTATATATATATATATATATATATATATATATATACATATCATATATATATGTATGTATTGTATATATATATATATACAATACATACATATATATAATATGTATATATATATATATATATATATATATATATATATATATATATATATGTTGGTATTAGACCATAATTTTTACAATATTCTATAAATTCTACCGAATGTTTGGCGTTAAATTTATATATATATATATATTTATATATTCATTTTTAAATGTACGCATATAAAATGTAGATACAAGTATCAGTATCACAACACAAACATTGACGGAAGCATCATGTTGTTGTGCATGCACATGCTGATTTATATTCATGATAGCTGAAATCAATAAGAAATTTAAATCTTGTAAATGCTTGGCTTTTTGCTGCTTTTTTATACACAGGTTGTTAATACATTAAAATATTTACTTTTTTGAGGTTTTCTTTCAGTTGAACATTCAGTTCAGTTGAACATTTCAATCAGTGGAGACTGAGCAACATTTGCTGAAAGCAAAAATTATTTCGAAAAATTTGAAACATCACATTTCACCCATTTATAACAGACTGGGCAAACGCAACGGAATCAAATTGAAGAACACCAAAGACTCTTCACAGCAACTGAACAACAACAGCAAAAACAATTACCACAACAACAACAATTACAGCAACAACCACAGCAACAACCACAACAACAACAATTACAGCAACAACCACAGCAACAACCACAACAACAACCACAACTACAACAATCAGAACCACAACAGCAACAACAAAAACAGCAGCAACAGCAGCAACCACAGCAGGAAAAACAGTTTTTACAACCAAACCTACAACAACCGCAAGGAAAACACAAGCAGCGATCCGTTTCGGAATACATCAAGCCACGTCTCCATGAACTTCAAATACCTCCTGTTAGTTTTAACGAGACGGGCAGTTATGAAACTGAGAAATTTTTTGATGTATTCAGTGTTGCAACAATTATGAAATACCACACCACCACACCAAATATTTATTCTAAATGATCATCATACTTAACCTTCTGAACTTAATTGTTAAACGCCGACTACAGAACTACAGAATGAATGAAGGTTGGAGCAGCAAGGGCAGTTCTCGAAACTCATCCATAGTCAACCTGTTGGAGCACATGAAAATGAAGTTATCTAGGGCGAAATCACCCGGGCACTCATCGAATCAATTGGCAGATGACATCAGCACTGATGTCGGCAACAGCATCAACAGGAACAGCGAGAATCACAACGGCACCAGGATCGCCAACAAATTTGTGAAGAGGCAGCGATCAATTTCAACTTACGCGGCTCCGTTTCCAGCTCACTCGGCTGATGTTGAGGTAGGAGTGATGGCATGTACGATGGCATGTACGATGGCATGTACGATGGCATGTACGATGGCATGTATGATGGTGATGGTGTGTATGATGGTTTGCTGTCAGTTAGATGATTTTCATTTAAGTTACGATGTTGCTGATTAGGCAAGGACTGACATTTTTACCGAAGATGAAAGCTGGTTTTATCTATGATTAGCTCGTTCAAAAGTTACTTTGGTAAAAATATATAATGTTTTCAACAAAAAACGTTTTTTTAAAAATCGTCATAAATTTTTTGAGTTTTTATTATCAATTTAATATAATTTAATTAACAATTTTATATACATATTCTTTCATTAATTTAGTTATCTTTTTAAATAAATGACAAAATTTTAATACAAGTTAAGCAAAGAGTTATAAATTTGGTAATATTTCGAAATTCGAACTTGATTGAATTTGATTGAAGATATTTTTAGTTAAATTGCGACATGACAAAATTATTCCGTCGGAATGTCTTCCGAAATAATCCGATTCCGACTTCGACTGAATTCGAAGTTTTCGATCAAATCGAACGGAACGCAGACCTCCAAACCTAGTGTTGAAGCAAATTTTTATAACCGTTGAAATAATAAAAAAGTTGTTAATATTTTCAATAATTGGACCAATATTAGTAAAGTATTTTAATAAGATTTTTATTCACGTTCATTAAATGCAATAACCATTATATCGTAGTGTAAATGACCATGAAAATAATTTTAAAACGAATATTCTTTTCAATTTTGTCAATTTAAATTTAAAAGGTCAATTTAAATGTCAGCACATCTGATTATAATCAAACAATTTATTTCTTGTTAGAAAGCGCAGAAGCAAATTTTTTTAAAAGTTTCAGAGCAGGAGGCCTAGGTTATCCCTGTTCAGTCGGAAGTTCAACGCCTTGGAGGAGGAGGTGGTTTCATCAGTGAGGAAGGAAGCGGTGACGCCGTTGCAAGTCGAAGCTCAACTGCTCTATCAGGTTCTAAACACTCGCATATTTTCCACTGTAATGTTGCGCATGGAACTCAAAAATTCAATGTTCATTTTCATTGATTAAAAATTTTATTTTTTCATAAGTAGCTGTGAGTTAATATTTCTGCGTTTTGTGTTTATCGTTGTTGAAAGGATAGAAGCATTCCAGGTATCCTACACTTGAGCAGTGACACTCTGAAGTTTGAATCAACATCAACATCATCATCATCCTCTCCATCATCATGTTATCATTATTTCATGCTGGACATGATGTTTGTAACAAGAATAGGTATCTGCAGATGTCAGAAGAGTGGACCGAGGTGTGTGATGTTTAACAATTGGATTTTTTTGAACATTATGCAGTATTGTAAGGTCATTGGCACATTGATTCGATGATAGAGCTCAAGAATTGCGTGTATGTCGATAAATTATAAACCAAATCTGCAGATCGACTGACGTGGGAGAACTGATTCCAGCGGAATTTATGAATAATATGAAAAGAAGAGAATCGTCGTCGTCATCGTCGTCATCATCCGTGATGTCTTCAGAAAATATCTACAACGTGAAAACTAAAAAAGATGTCTTCGAATCAGTTGATGATTATTCGTTAGCTATTCCAAACATATTTGTTACTGATGAACCAAACCTGATAGGTAGTTATTATTTAATTATTAATTAATTAATTTGAATGCAATTAATTATTTTGAACCGCAAAAATGATCTTGTTACGTTGGTCAATTTAGGGAATATTAATTGTTCCATCAATGAAGAGCATTCGTCATAATTTCAAAACCACAAATTGTATTTCCGAAAAAGCTGAAGACAAATCACTTGCAGACCGCAGTTTACCAACCGACCAGAAAGATGAAGAAAATGATGATGTGAATAATGTGAGTGATGTTAATGATGACGAATACAACAGGATGAGAGGCAATGACGAAAATCTACAAAAAATAAATGGTCGGTTTATCATTGCAGTTGGTGTCTATATTATTATTATTATTATTAGAATGGTGTGTGCTCGCGTGTATGTGCGTGTGAAAAAATGTGACGAACTAAATTATCGAGTAGTCTTCGTTGAAGCATTTTACAAATGTTTTGCTTCTTACAACAACCTCTTGACTCCGGTGAACTGGTTAAGTTCGTTAATCAGGTGGACGATTATTTGGGATTTGATTTGTTAAATGCGTTTGTTGAAAGTGGGTTAGGATTTAAAGAATGCATCATCATAATTGCACTTGTCAAAAAAGACATTTAACCCATGAACGTATTATTACAATTTGAAAGGAGGTTTCATGTTGAGAGTGCAGGGTCTGTTCAATGAGATGTTGCCTCCCTGCATGCTCTCATCCTGCTCTGAAGGTCTGCCATACAACCAGCATGCTGTTCACTTCTCGGTATCTCCCGATACGTTAGTCCGCTTCAAAATAATAATTAATAATAACGTCACTTGATAAAGCGCCCTGGCGAGCGATTGAGGCGTCCTCGAGACAGAATAACTCAAGTCAAACGTTTAAAATTTTCTTTAAAATAAAAAATTTGTTAGAAAGTGTTGACAAAAACAAATGGAAAAATTTATTTTAAGGAAGAAATTGTGTTGTGAAATACATGAATGATTTAAAATGATTCTAACTTATTACTTACTAACTATGATTGAGTCTTTGAAGTTGTACAAAATTTTTAGGCAACATAAAAGCTATTACAAATCGAGAATAACATTTTGACTACAATTTTAGACTTATAAATTTTGTTCATTTTGATTAACTCATTTGATACTAAAAAAATCTCTACGCAGACTCTACCAATTGAATAACTTTTTTGCAAAGAGCATGCCACATTGTTACCTCAATTTGGATGACGAGGTAGATACGGAGACGCTATAATTATAATTTGTTAAATATAATTATAATTTTTTAAATATAGCTATAATTTGTAAGATATAATTATAATTTGTTAAATATAAATATAGGCCAATGTTCCAACGTTTGGCACTTTGGCTGCATCAACTTTTTTCATTTTCATTATTATTTATTATATGATAATTAATTAATTAATTAAATAATTCATGTGAATGTTTTCTGTTGTTGTCCCTTCATTTTTCAGTTGAAGAAGCACCTCAGATATCAGTTAAGAATTACGTTGAACCAGTGCAAGAACCTTCAAGACGCCAATGGGGATGGTAAGCTGTTTATGGTGTGACGTGGGTGGAGCATTGTTGTTTCCACCTAGTGCTTTCCAGTATGTTGTTCGATATTTGTTTTGTTTCTTGTTTTTGTCAATATGTTTGAGCTATATTTTGTAGTTGATTGAAATCCAGGTCTGCTACTAATGCTTTGAATATTATGATGAGGTCAACTTATGGTACGCTGCAAATTTGAATCTGTCGCTGAAATTTACATTTAAAAAACATCAAAACTGCTATTAGCAAGCGTACTTATATATTAACGTGTAAACACCAAGTCTTGAATATATGGGATATATAAATGTTGATATTTAAATATGTGTGAGTGTGTGTGAGAGAGTGTGTGTAAGTGTTTTTATATTGAATATGTATGTGTATACTTACTTATATTTATAACAAACGCATGAAAATGTTTGTTGAATACGAATTTGCCAGGCACACTGAATGTGTGTGCAAAGTTCAAGCACCAAGGAGTCACAGTCTTCAAGACCTCGATCGTAAGGAGTGGTCTGCATCCAGTTTTCAATGAGACGTTCACTACGGATCTCCTACACTTGGGCAGTGAAGTGGTCATGAAGTTGTACCAGTTGTACACTACCATCATCACCACTCTGATTGGTCAGGTGACCATTCAACCTGCTCTACTATCGCCTATCTTGTTGGTTGTTTAATAAATTTTATGCAAATATTTTAGCCAATGTTACGGTAAAATAATAACGTAAAAAATTTCCCAAACTCATCTTTTGTAATGCAAATTCGATTATAATTCAAACCATTCTAACATTTTTTAACTTTTAAAAAGTGAAATCAATTTGCACAAACTTTCAAACATTCACTTCAGAAACGAGAAGCTAGAGCTGGGATTGAAAAATCCCAAAGACGCCACAAAAGATTTCATTGGAAGTGTTATTCTGCAATGTCAGCTGATTCCTGAAGTTTGTTGAAAATCAAGTTGACTCCACAATATTTATATTTTAAACAATTGGTCATGGTCTTACTATATGTCAAAAAATACTTTTCTTCAATGCGATACTTTGGTGTGTATAAACTCGCATTAGAAATATTTGTTTTCCAGGGCAGTACAGGTGTCCTACCATTTGTCCGCTATCCTTCATTACTTGCTGCCAGTGCAATGCTGACGGAGAGTCATGTGAGGATGGTCCGTGCTCTCCTTCAATACTTTTCCATTTTTTAGCTGGTTTTGTGAAATAAATATATTAAACGAAAAATTGAGCGTTTTTGATATTCCATAATTTATATCCGCAAAGCTGTACGACAACCTGCCAATGAAGGTCAAGGCAAAAACCACGTGGGACCTCGTGTACAGCACTGAAGTTCATGGACGGAGTCTAACAACTCTCTATTCTAGAGTCAAATACAGTCACGATGCAGAAAATATTCTCGTCATCAAGGATTTCCACCAATCGGTTTGCCCTTCATCTGATCTTTACCAGAATTTTTGGAAATATATTTAACATATCTGAGAAACAAATTTTAAAGATTTTTGGCGCTTTTCTAACGTCTTCCGTACGCTTGAGTGACAGGTACTACGGCAATGGCGAATGTTTCCTTTTTAGTTTCCAGCCAATTTTTCAGGTGTCGTATTTTTTAAGTTTTTGTTGAAAATTTAAAAACTCATTAAACATTATTACATCAACAAAATTTCAATTATCTGTTTTTCGATCAAGTTTAATTTTTTCATTTTAAATTAATTATCCAAAGGAAGGAGAAATAAAGCATATATTCCGTCTATTTCAACTTTCATTATTTTCCCTGTAACATATTTAATGCAAGAACGCAGTAACTCTGAAAAACATTTTTAATTAAGATTATAATTGTCAGATCGTATTTGTTACATTTGGCATCTTTGCTGAAATGTAAAGGCTTTATTATTGGAGCAAAATCCCCTCCAATATTTTCCATCACAAATAACTTGCGCTCACGTCAGAAGTACTGAAGCCATGTAATTTGGTGTTTTCAATTTTCATTGACCACGTCCTTCTTAGTCGGTCTTTGACTACCCAACAATTCTTTTTATAGTTTTGCAAGTTGGGCAAATTTTTACTTTTTTTTGTTTTCCTAATACACACTTTATTTTAACATTTTTTTTATCTCTCCAGATCATCCACCCCAAACTTATTTCTTACCTGCTCAGTATTAATGACTTAATAACTTTTCTTCAAATAACTTCTTCATTTTGCATTTCAGCTTCTTATAACCACATACTTCCGGCTTATTAACTCAACATCTGAAACTCATTCTATTATATTAAGTTTTTCAGCGTTGCTGTCCTTTCATCCTTTATCAACAGAACGACCAAATACTGGAATGTATCCTCGACATGGTTGAACAAATCCTGCCACAAATCAATTTCTGCCTATCACTACAGCACTCACTCTTAAATTCGTTTTATTTTATTTTTCATTTATTCTGAAAGTATTATTTTATGGTTTCAATTGAAAATTAAAAATTTTTGTCCAGAAATTTGATTGGTCTGGCAGTAACAACTGGTTCATAAAAGGCAATGAAGACTCGATCATGATTGGAGGAGGAGGGTTTCATTATTTATTTATTTAATTATTTATTTATTTGAATTTAACTAATAACTGTTACGTTCCGTTGATGACGTCACTTTCGTTTATCTTTGCGACTATAAAGTCGACAACGATAATGAAGATGAATTTTATCATCATCGGTCTCATGTACCTTCAACAACTCAATATCAATGTTTTACGCTACAGATTCAACAACATCTTCATCATTATTTTCAATAATATCTTTTTCATTTGATCACTATTGTGCAATTCTCTTACTCACATCACCTTCACCTACATTTTCAGGGGTCGTATAGGTTTGTGGTTGATGGAAGATTTGTGTCGAGGGAGGAGTGACATCTGTGCAACCTTCAATAACATTCCACTGACACTTTCTAAAGATTTCAGTATTTTGTCTTTAGAAATATGGGTTATTGACTGAAAATTTGTGTGCAATTGCAATCATAAATGGATAGGATCACTGTTGTGCCCGTTATGTCATGTTACGCCATGTTTGGTTACATTATGCCATGTTATATTATGTCATGTTAACAATGATGAACAACTTAATTGATAAAGATTATTTTAATGAGAATGTTTCAGTGCGCATAAACATTTGAAGAGCTGACTACACCCTTTTAAGTTGATTGCCTCCCATATGTTCATGATATTGTGCAAATTTTCTAATAAAAATCTCAACATCGTTGATAGCATTTGAAGCGACATCAAACTATCTGCAGTTCTCCTTCATCTTTTATTGACTTGATAGCTTAGTAGTTATGCTTAACAAAATTTTTTTTCTTAACCATAATGAATTTAATCATTTGAGCATTTTGATTATTGAATTGATTCTTTGAAACAGATAGTTACAATTATATTTGAAAAATGAACACCAGACAAACTGTTAACATTTCAGCACAAAATGAGTGATCGAAATGAAATAATTTTTTTGATTATTTTAATATAAATATGTAATTGAATACGTTTTTATTAATAAATATTTGATTGAAATTGCAAATGAAATATAACAAAAAATGGGAACAAAATGACTAGTACAAATATCTCAAACAAATTTAACAATTACAGAGGATAATAAACTGGCAAAATAAAAATGTTCTGTGGAATATTGTTCAATCTTTCATTACAAATTGTGATTAAAGTTTTTTAATATGTACTGACGAAGTTGAAAAAACAGCAGACACGTCAGATGGTTTATGTACAATACAATTAAATAACTGAATAATACAATTTAGTCAATAACAAAATCAAATTTTCAAAATTATTCACAGCAACACCATCGTCATATCCGTTTAATGAACATTTTGTGTAAAAATAAATTGAACAAAAGTTTTACAATCGTGTTTATCATATTTATATAAAAAGAATTGATGATTCGAGTTCATTTTAATGCGAGGCTTTTAGTGAAGTAGCTGAAAATTTCATTCGTTTTTGCTTCTGTCTCTGGTTGCAAAACCACACGCGCACCACATTCTTGCGCAGGTCCAACTTGTCAGCTATTTGAGCGATTTTCTCGCCAGACGGTCGAGGTTGAATAGCGAAGTAGGCTTCTAAAGATCTTTTCTCAGGACCGGCTATTGATGTTCTTTTTCTTTTTTTGTCTCCGAATTCTGATAAAGTCCCATCCCCGAGACTATTCAGATACTCTTCTCTTATTCTGGCTTCTCTAGCAGCTCTTTCTGCTTCCCCCAACCAAGCCTGAAGAACAGGTTTCAAAGCGACCATGTTGTTGTGACTGAGTGTCAAAGATTCAAACCTGCATATTGTACTTTGACTCAAGGAACCAACTCCAGGTAGTTTCAGTTTCCCCAATGCTGCTCCAACGTCTGCTTGCGTTGCGCCTAATTTTATTCGTCTTTGCTTAAAATGTTCAGCAAACGCTTCCAAGTCTCGGGGATCGCAATCCTGTCCTATCATTTCTTCGTTGTTGTTGCAACGCTGTTGTTGCTGAGAAACAGCAGCCGCAACAGCGGCTGCAACAGCTTCTGACATGCTGGAGTTTGGAGATAAAAGTGGCGATGGTTTCATGTGGTTATTGTTGTTGCTTGATGTGCTGTTGTTACTGCAAGATTTCATGTATGGTCCATCGTGTTGAAACGTATTTGATCCGTGCTCTATGCTAGGCTGTGGGTAGCCTTGAGAGGACAAATATGACGAAGTGGCTGATGAATTCGTCGTCTTATCAGGATCAGCGTGGAATCGCTGGTGGTTGAATGGAGGTGGAGAGAAAAATAAGGAATCGTGGTGTCGGCGGTAGTTGAAGTGGTTGTTGTAAGATGATTCATTGAAGTAATAGCCGTTGTTGCTTAGGTAGTTGTGATTGTTGTTGTAATTTGAAAATGGCAACCGTTCGTTTGAATATTCTTGAGAAACAAAACGTGAAATGTGTTGGTGTTCATGTTGATGATGGTGGTGTTGTTGATGCTGGTGCTGCTGCATGTAGGCTGCACTGTGATGAGGATCCTGGTTCAAATCTTTCATTGAGGATTTTGAATTTCTGTTCCGATTAGTGGAACGATTGTTGTTTGAGTTTGTTGGAATGTCGTTGTTGGTATTATTTTTAGGGCTGTTGTTGCATGTAGTCGAGGCTGGTGACAACTCTTTACTCCTGTAATTGTTCGGCGTTGCTGCTGTGTTGCTTGATTTTTTTTCGCACGATAACAACATTTTTTGTTGGCCATCTCCGTTGTGAACATCTTCATCCTCGTTATTGTTGTGCTGGAAAAATTGTTGATGCAACAAATTGTTGTAGCTCGGAGCAAAAGGGAGAATGTTGTTGCTGTGAAGGTTTGCGTTGTTGCCGTTGACCGGAAAATAATTTCTACCAGAATGGAAAGAATGTTGGAAGATGAGGTTGTTTTCGTCTGGAATGACGCCATAGTAGGATTCCTGAGGTGGGGGTGGTTGGTGTTTGTTCTTCATTTAATATCAATCATTTACATTTTTGCAGTTTAATAAAAATTGTTCGAATGTTCAACAAACGGATTTTATAACCAAATTCGATCATATCTGCTTTTTTGAAAAATTCGAATTACAAAAACAATTTAAATTTCGGTTGTTCACACTGACGGAAGTCTCAAAGCAGAAACAAAATATAGCTTGGTGACAACAGAGAGCAACAATAGAAATCGTTCAACGATTATTTGAATTGAAATATTGATATCCACTTTACAGACATATATTAGTTTTTATTAAGTTAATAGTTTTTTCAACGACATTAATATTATATAATAATAATATATTTAATACATTTACATTAATAATAGATATTAATACATATGATTGTGCTTTTAAGCCTATTTATATCATTAAAAGATTTTTTGTAATTAACATAGATGAATTTTATTATAACATGTATATAGGCGTTTTGGTGTAAGTATTTTTACCTATTTGAAAAATTAAAAAAAAAGAGTCTTTTGTCAACTGAAGAAAAATAAGAATTTTTTTTATAAAACATGAAAATTCGTGCGTTTACAAAAGCACGAACCTGCCAACGATGATCGTTCCAAAGCAACAAATTGTTATTATGTGTTTTTAATGGCACCAATATGAAAATTGAATGAAAAAGATGATGAATGTTAACAACCTCCTGCCTGATTTTTTAAACTTCCTAATTTCCCAGTTGTTCAACGATGTTTTTGCCCTAAAATACTTCCAGCCATCATTACATTGATTAAACGAATGGAACGACCCTCACAAAACCAAACTAGTCATTGTGAGGAAGTATATCTTGTTCACATATTTAGCTATCCCAACTATCACATAACATTATAAAATTAACTTCAAACTTATAATTATCTTAACTGCAAAATAAGTTTTTTGGTTGAATTTAGTGCTCGGCAAACAGAATACATAACGAAACATCTTAGTGCGCCAGCTTGCCTTTCATAGATCCAACCCCATTTAACAATTTGAAATAAAAAATCATTGAACACATCACATACTTCAAAATGAATGTCAAACATGAAAAAATTCATTTAATATTTTTGACATCATTTTTATACTTGGCTCTACAGAAATAATTTATTCAATAAAAACGTTGAATTTCAAATTTTTTAAACAATTTCCATCTGCATAAATGAAAATGCAAGTTCGTCCAACAAGGTGTATTTGGTTGAAAGGCACGTAGGGACTCCATCGCACCGACCAGATCAGGATGCACAGGAATGAGTTATATCGAATAGGCACGCATTTTTAAAAACAACTTTTTGTGAGAAGCAGTTGGGTCTGTAAAGATCGCATGAGTTGTTGGATCTATTTTATGGCGTTGGATTGAAGTCATCAGTTTTTTCGCTCAACAATTTCATTGTGTTGTGATTAACAAATAAGTAAATAAACAAATGCATAAATAAAAAGATAATTAAACGAATAAGTGAATGACTAAGCGAATGAATAAAGGAATGAATGAATGAATTAATTAAATAATTAATTAATTAATGAGGCAAGGAATGAATGAATAGCTAATTTTATGTTACTATTATTCGTTTAACCAAAAATAAGTTAAAAAACTTGTGGATAGGTCACCCTTAACTAACAACTGTTTGACACATGTATCAAATTTTCTAGAAAAGAAAGTTGAATAAATTTTGTTCTGTCACATAAATTAACAATCATGAACATTAAATTATTTCAGAAATAAAACTATCTAAGAAATAAAATAATTCCTCTCATGAGTTCATCTAAACAATAGAACATTACATTATTTCGAATGTATTTTGTTTTTTCAATGATGTAAACAAATATAGACATACGTAAAAATGTATAATGTTAAAAGATTTGAAAAAGAAAGCAGCCCGCCAAATTGAATTTCAAAAAATAGCAATCAATAATTTTTATATTAAAGAACAAGTTAGAGTTCAAGATAGAAAAATAAATCCTGTATAGTTAGCCAAGATCATGTGACTACTGATCAAAAATAAACCAGCTTGTTGACAATAAATGTCCAAGCAAAACATCTTAAATCAGTTTTTTAACAATTTTTTCAATTTAAATTATTTGTGACTTTATTATATACTATAAGTTTAACTATAATGGCAATGATATTTGTTATATTATAAGATTAGTCAAGTCGTTTATTCACATCCGCCAATGATCCTTCGAGAGAAAAAAATTTCAAAGCAAGCAGCACATCTCAAAACTGACAAATGAAGCAAAAGAGGAGCATAAAAATATACATCCTGTCCATCAAACATGCAAATTAAGTCTGCTGCATGCATTCTATGCAGAGGAGAAATGCTAATTATTTAGGATGGAAGCGCCAATGTATGCGGTCGAATGTGTCGACGCGTTGCAGGCGGCATTTGCAACTGTTGCGGTGCTCGTCTATCGGTGCTACGAAGAATGTTTCTTTCGTGTGTCTTGTGGAAAGAAAAATGTTTTGCATGCCACATTTTATGAAATTTGCATAGTTGGATATCTTACGCATGTAATTAGCATGTGAAATTGTTAACGCTCGAGAGTCTTTGTTTGTTTTGTGTTAATTTTTGCACTGATCTAACGAATGAAAAACATTTTGTATATTGCTCGTTTCACATTCACTGATATTGAAAACAAAAACTAAACTGAACTGTAGAGTTCCACTCTTTGGGCCGTTTCTACGACCACATGCTTCATTCCGCAAGACAATTTCGTGAAACAAATGTAACGGGCTAACTTAGTGAGTTTGTTTAAACATTAAAGTGTCTTCAAAGCTTTCTTCCAATTTCCTAAACAAAACTGATGTTTACTCGATGTTTGCAATTGTTTTCATTTATAAATTGTTGCAGCAACTAAAGTTTATGTTGAATAAAAAAATGGCTAATAAAAATGGCAACAATTGAATATAGTGTCTCAAGGTTGTGTCAAACGTTTCACTGTTGTGCTGCTTCAAATTCAACGCATGTCGATAAGCTCTATGAAATAAGAATGTATGTTTTTGGTGTTTTTGATTTGGAAATAATAATGGACAAAAATATGCAAAATAGCTGGAAATACTAAAAAAATTAATTATAAATAAATTAGAAAATTGAAAATAATAAGTAATAATAAAAAAACTAATTATCATAATTACATATTATGAAAATAAGCATGCAAATGCATGTCTGCATAATTATTATTCAACACAAAGACATAGGAATACACAAAGGAAGATGTAGCGGGATTGAAGCAATCACCAGAGAACAAAACACGATACGCAGTCTGTAATTATCTCATAAGAACATCCAACTAAGCAAGCAGCATGTCCTGCAATTCACTGTTTGCCTCACAATAACCTCACCTCTTTGCTGTTGTGCTGTTGTTCTTTTCAGCTGATTAATTGCTTGCTTACATTGTTAATGAATCGCCGATGTTATCTTCCAACTTCTTCCTTTTTCAAGTTAGTCGGATGGATAAGCTATGTTTTGAAGAATTATATATTTCAAAAAGCTTACGAATAAACCTAATTAAATACCATATATTTATTATTTTGTTATGTGAATTTTAAGATTGCAAATGTACTTATAACAGCAAGCAAAAACTATTGAAGAAATGATCGTAATAATTCATTATAGTATACTAAACATTAGCATATAATAAATAAACATTAATATATAATAAATAAACATTAGCATATAATATTAACATTAACATATGATAAATAAGCATTAACATACATTGAATAAACATTAACATATAATAAATAACTTAGTTACTGAGCAAGAAACTTTAGAAAAAAAAATTCACGTTACAAGCAAGGTAAGTACGAACGAACAAAACATGCGACCACCAATACTGACTCACAGTACAAAGCATTTGTACATGAACCAATTGATAACACGTAAAGCAAAAAAGAATTGCTAATAAACGTGATAGACTGATCGTTCAAGAATGAAAAATTTGACATTAATACATTAACACGTTTCAATAAGTTATTAACGACAACAGCAAAACTTTGATGA